TTAGATATGGTACTCTGACATTTTAATTTAGCACAGATGCAGTTTGACTTCCTCAAACTATTGTGTTCACTAGAGTAACAATGTTTTCAAACTAACTTCTATTTATCTATATATGTACACCCTCATATGTGTGTACAAGTTTGTACTAACTTGATGATGTAACTGCCAACACATGTCACTCTTCTGTCTGTACATGAAACTTGAAAAGGAATATAAAAAAAAGATTTAAAAAAACCAACTCTGGCATACCTGAAACGTTAATTCACCCCAAACACGTTCACCCTAGCACGGTTTCACCCCAGGCTGTTTCATCGGTTCATGGCCAGAAAGGCTAAAATCGTGACGCTTCTCGGTTCAATGAGGGTAGCCTTCCCGGTACTAGCAATGCAATGTTATGGCTGAATGAACACGGCGCGCCTCACTCGAGGGCTCTGACAAATTACAAAGAAGACAGGATTATCAAATATTTACAATTGGAAATTCCCAAACATGACCAAAACCAAGTTCATACAAAAACATTTTAACACTAGGTAACCATGATTTATAACCATTATTTCCCATTACCTCCCAAGTTCGCCGTATACAGCAACTGTAGATGATTTGGCATTGAACATCAGAACATTTCACAATACCCCACACTTCACCATACATCACAGTAGAGGTAACAAAAGAGTCGAATAGTTCACACAAGGTTTTCAATGAAAAGTTGTAACAACTGACATTTTAAAGTAAAGCATTCATAGCTTTAAGACCTTGCCTGCTAGAGTTCTATAAGCTTGAGTATAAAGGAGCCTGTGTAAGAAAGCACTATATTTCCTCCGGTCGAAGCACTATATTTCCTCCGGTCGAAACTTCCCTCTTTTACACACAGACAGACAAAATAGTTTATGTATGTGTCACGTGAACGTACATGTCAAAAACCATAATTTTACTTTTGTCTACATTAACGTTAAGGCTCGAGTCTGTGCAATAATTGGAAAGCGTATTAAGTAATAGCTGTAAACATCCAGGTGATTCGGATATGAGCACCACATCGGGAAATCCGAAATATACATTTTAGCCTTCCCGGGACATCTGAAAAATTCATTTTAGCCTTTCCGGCACGACACCGTTTCATCCGGGTTGTGCCACCCCATTCAGTTTCACCCCGTTTACAGGTTGTGCCACCCTATTCAGTTTCACCCCGTTTACAGGTTGTGCCACCCCATTCAGTTTCACCCGGTTTACAGGTTGTGCCACCCCATTCAGTTTCACCCCGTTTACAGGTCGTGCCACCCCATTCAGTTTCACCCCGTTTACAGGTTGTGCCACCCCATTCAGTTTCACCCCGTTTACAGGTTGTGCCACCCCATTCAGTTTCACCCCGTTTACAGGTTGTGCCACCCCATTCAGTTTCAACCCGTTTACAGGTTGTGCCACCCCCTTCAATTTACCCCGTTTACAGGTTGTTTCACCCCATTCAGTTTCACCGGGTTACAGGTTGTGCCACCCCATTCAGTTTCACCCCGTTTACAGGTTGTGCCACCCCATTCAGTTTCAACCCGTTTACAGGTTGTGCCACCCCATTCAGTTTCACCCCGTTTACAGGTTGTGCCACCCCATTCAGTTTCACCCCGTTTACAGGTTGTGCTACCCCATTCAGTTTCACCCCGTTTACAGGTTGTTTCACCCCACTCAGTTTCACCCCGTTTACAGGTTGTTTCACCCCATTCAGTTTCACCCCGTTTACAGGTTGTTTCACCCCACTCAGTTTCACCCCGTTTACAGGTTGTTTCACCCCATTCAGTTTCACCCCGTTTACAAGTTGTTTCACACCATTCAGTTTCACCCCGTTTACAGGTTGTTTCACCCCAACATATAATTATTATTAGATCAACTATAAAATTATTTCAATATTTTATTCATCTATGTATAGTGTTGAAACAGCATATTCAGATTGTTTGAATAATTGTATCAGTTCATATTGGCTGTACTAACATGCATGAAACATTTTTATCAAACAGTTGTTATGACTAAGTATTATCTGTGCCACATATTCTGTGTTGATGACGATAACAAGTTTCAGGCTTCAGTCCATCTTGACGTGGTCTTATTCTCTTCTTGCAGCTGAGGCAGATCCCCAAACACGGAGTCGCCATGACAGAAATGCAAGTGTAATGTCTAAATCAATGTTGCCTTATCTAAATGTTCATTTAAGTTTTCAAGCGTGATGAGAGGAGATTAGATGAGATATAAGCTTAAGTCCTCTGTGCCATCTCAAGACAGACAAAGTAGCACTTACTTGATTGTTGTAAAAACACTGCTTAATTAGGATTAACAGATATAAGCATTAATACCATTCTCAATGTACGCTCAATTAGTTGGGTGAAACAACTCTTGATTAGGGGTGAAACAGCCCCTAATATGGGATGAACTGACCTAGTTTGGAATTGGGATGAAACAACCAGGGTAGAACAACCCGGTTGAAACTACTTGGGGCGAAACGACCAGGATCTCCTCAAACTGGGCGTGACATATGACATAACTCTGTCATGCGTGGGACCATACCCACCCTATAATGATTGGGCCTTGTCTCTTGGTTCTGGCCTCATTTAGTTTACTAGTAGTTTATATTTTTATATATTGTTTTAAACGAAAATACGTGCGTGTGTGCGCGTGTGCGTGTGAGTGTGTGAAATGTTAGTGTAGCCCTGAACGTGTGATACTGTGGTCTGGTGAAGGCCCGAAGCCGCTGATAACGCCAGCATCCAGCCACCCAGGTCTCACATCATACGCAATGTGGAAATGAATAGCAAGATCGAACGGGCGACAGCGTGGGTTGCCTAAATAACATCTAGACACCGTGGAATTCGAAGTCGCGGTGGCTGAGCTGGTTAGGCGGCTAACTTTGTGTACTGGCGATTATGTGCCTGACCCTGAGGATGTGGGTTCAAAACCTGGATGGGAAAGTGTAATTCCAAATAGAACATGTTAGTCTTGACCACTTTCTAAATGGCATTACATGTATATGTAATCATGGCTTTGCATAATCGTCTCGACACTATTCTCAATACAGTCTGCTTATTGCATCGGCCTGTGTGCGCGAGTGCGTGTGCGTGTGTGTATGAGTGGGTGGGGGCAGAAGCAGACAGACATATGTGTGTGTATAGAGATTGACATGAGGGGGGCGTGGTGGGCGAGCTGTCTAAGGCGTGTGGCTGGTAATCCAGCGAGCTTGAGGCGCCGGGATCATGGGCACCCACCTGTGACCGGGTGTAAAAACCTTGGAGTGAACTTTGTGTGCAGACTCTTTCAGTGTTGTCACAACCCCTAGTGTACAGTACACAGCCCTGTGCACTTAAAAGAATCCACGAATCCGTTGGTATATGACCAGATGGCGGCCACATGAATACGGGCAAACACCTAGTTGCGGGTACAGCAACGTGCAGTAAACTTGGACAAAATACTGTGACTATGTGTTCCAGTCCACCCAGCTGTGAATGGGTACATCGTAATGATGGGAAAGCCACATTAACTGGGTGCGCCTTGTGGTTGCAAGAGTTGTATGTTCCCCAGGGAGTTGAAATTGATAATACGAAGTGCCGTTGAGACTGACATCCTATGATTGAGGGAAAAACAAAGCGCCCGTGAGCAGCCTAGCTGGAACTCGGCGCTATATAAATAGATTATAATAAATATAATAATAATAATTGGTAAAACATATAATAATAAGGACCGTTCATAATTTATGGCGGGGGTGGGGGTGATGATGATTTTAAGGGGGTCACCCATTGTGTTCTGGGGAGCTGGGGGTCAGAAATTTTGTACTTAAAAATATCTTTAAAATCATGCTTAGGAAATTATAGGAAGTGGAGGGGAGGTAATTCATTTTGTACTTGACATGCATGGGGTGTTACATATTTTGTACATAAATTTTAAGGGGTGTCATCATTCACATTGTACATGCTTCTCCATAAAAATCATCATCATCACCCCCCACACACACACCCCCCACCCCCACCCACACACACACACCCCTAGCCATAAATTATGAACGGTCCCTAATCGGCGTGCTCACAAAACATGTGCTCTGAACATGGCCGCCGTACTTATATCACTACTGTTCATAACATCGACGGCACGGCTGTTGACAAGGGTTTGTGTTGATCGGCAACAGCTAGGGTTAAAACGTCACATCAACCCATGTATTCATGCCGGTATTGAGCAATGTCGGGGTCATGGTGACGGATCGTAACAGACAATATTGTCTCAATTTAAGCTCTGTATAGCTGTAGAACTGACTCATATGGTACGTTCAAAGTAAACTACCATGCGTGTATCTCTCCTGCACTTAAATCAACAATAACCAGTTGCTACCGTTAAACACGCTAAAACGTCGCAACTCTATCTCAATTCAAAGTACATGAAAGGGGTAGTGCGGATATTGGGGCCTCGTTAGGGTTCTGGGTGTGTACGGCTACTTGACCCAGCGTCTCCCGAAATCACCATGGTGACTGGATGGTATCAACAACGCTGTCAACACAGCTCTCCCCCGAGAGCTTTGATAGTATGCATGGTCACTTCGACTGATAATGTGCGATTAAAGTGATAACACTGATGGAAGTACGCACTCGTGTACTCCCGAGTATATGAGTCAAGGAGCGTCGCTATGCTAAGTACGCCAGACTAATATCTATTTACATGAACAACGGGTGGTTGGCAACGCTAACACCGGGCTACCATCGAGCACGAACTGCTATCCGTACTTTAACGCAAGCGCTGGACCAATAAACACAATATATTACCCTCCACTAACGAGAAATTCCGTACCTGAAACCTAACGCTCCGTCAAACAGCGTCCCATATATGCGTTGAATACAGCGGCGACATAGCCGGCCTACAGCCGGGACACGGAGCCGTCCTGACACAACATACAGTTTGTGAAATAGGTAATATTACCTTGGCGTATTTTGTTATAATGGATATCATATACAATGAGGAAATGAATATCTTTTACTTACAGATAGGAGCAGGTGAGTCCTTGGTAGAGTACAGATCCCAAATGATTCATATATAGCATGAGCCTTGTATTGATTAGTCTACCCGTCGGACCACCTGAGATCAGTGACGCGTTGTGAGCTGAAGCCTGATTGGTGGAGGCTTGCTGGAAACGCAATGCACACAACCGGCTTTTTACGACGTATGTGTTAAGTGATTTTTGATTGGCTGGAATGCCGATGGATACATGACACAGGTGAGCATTACCATGGTGACGAGGTGTGGCTATCGTCGGAATCAGCGCTTTCAAGCGTGGAGTGTTATCATCACATATTGTAAAAATAAGCAATTAGCGCTAAACAGTCAAGGTGTATTGTTCACGCGGTAGTAAACCATGTTGCTATTGTTTGATAACTGTGAATCAACCAACGACTTTGCGATCGATTACAGGTGCTTTATGTGAGTCGGGGTTTGTTCGGCCGATTAATTGATAAAATTTCTCTTTTGAGCGTTATTAGTACAGTGGATTGTGGTACTTGAACTTAATTTAATGCGGCACACGCAACAATAGCCATGTAATTACTCCTGCATAGAGAAGTCCGCAGCCCATCCCAATCTTCAACACTGCAAATCCCTATGATTCCAAACAAACGGGCGCAGAAAGATTGATTGTTTATTGCTTAACGCTGCAATAGCTAACATTCCATCTATATGACGGCGGTCTGTAAATTACTGACTCTGGACCAGACAATCCAGTGATCAACATCATGATCATCGATCTACACAGCTGGGAAATGGTGACATGTGTCAACCAAGTCAGCGAGCCTGACCACCCGATCCCGTTAGTCGCCTCCTACGACAAGCGGGTGGGGTAGCCTAGTGAGTTTAGTTTTACGACGCTTATAGCAATATTCCAGCAATATCACTGAGGAGGACACCAGAGGGGGGACTGTGTGCAGCTTTATAATAAATACTATAAACCGCAAATATGTGTCAAAGGTTTTGTATCATCACATGGGTCTCACGGTCGGATACACATGGCAGGGTAGGGCCATGAGACCCACAAAGCGTCGTCGTGCCAACTCGCGGCACGAAGAGTGTTCAGTTAATGAAAGGTTCCTTTCTGATACATGATAACAATACTTAAGCCAAATCATGGGATAACGGTAATAAGTTTCCAACATATAGACAGTTTAAGTGCACTGTTACTCCAGAACCATACATTACTTCTACAATGCCTATATGGCACCGCAGCGCTCTAAGTAAACTGGAAAATGTTTTAATGTTATAAAAAATATGTATCAGCATATAAAATCATGTGTTTCTCATAATGGCAGTACAACCCAATTCTTTCCTTGTAATACGGGTGTTAGACAAGGCGAAAATTTATCTCCATTTCTGTTTGCTCTTTATTTAAATGATTTGGAATATTTTCTATCAAATAACGTAATTGGTTTGGAATTTGTAAATGCTTATGCACTAAAAGAAATTGGTATATTCATTAAGCTACTGGTAATTCTTTATGCTGATGATACAGTACTTTTATCTGAATCTCCTTCTGATTTGAAACTTTGTTTGGAAACTTTTGATGCTTACTGTACACGATGGAAACTAACAGTAAACATTTCTAAAACTAAAGTTTTGATTTTTTCCAAAAGAAGCAGTAAACTTAGTACATTATTTCTTCTGCAGAATACTGTTTTAGAGGTAGAAAAACATTATGTTTATCTTGGTGTACTATTCACAAGCACTGGTCGCTTTTGTAAAGCCATTAAACGGCTCTCTGACCAATCTTCTCGTGCAATGTTTGCTATAGTTAGAAAAATTCGCTTGTAAGATATACCGGTCGACTGCCAACTTAAACGTTTTGATCAACTTGTTAAGCCTTTTTTATTGTATGGTGCTGAGGTGTGGGGCTACGAAAACACTATTCAATTAGAACGTGTTCATTTGAAATTTTGTAAATATATATTGAAGGTAAAAACAACAACCCCAGATTTTATGCTTGACAGTGAACTTGGAAGATATCCACTTAGTATTTCTATCAAATTGAGAATGTTATCATATTGGTGTAAATTATTATTATCTCATGGTAAACTATCAAAAGTAATGTATAAATTAATGTTCAATTTGCACAATTCTCAGGCAAATGCTAAATATCCGCTAATAGCGGAAGTAAAATCTGTCTTAGAGAATACAGGCTTTAGCTACATTTGGCAATTACAAGAATTTCAGAGTACCCATTGGCTGGTAAATAATGTTAAAACTGTACTCGTTGATCAGTTTCTACAAACTTGGAGAGAAAGTAAATCACAATCATCGAAAGGCCTATATTACAATATGTTTAAGGATAATCTTTATATTGAAACTTATTTGTTGCAACTTCCTCTAGATTTACGTATTTATACTACAAAACTTAGAACTTGTAACCACAGACTCCCTATTGAAACTGGTAGATGGCATAAAATTGATAAAGAAAATAGATTGTGTACATCATGCAAGAGTAAAATTGGGGATGAATTTCACTTTATGTTAGAATGCAATGAGTTAAACGAATTACGAAACAAATATCTCCCTCCATATTATTGTAAACATCCCACTGTGGATAAATATATTTCACTTATGTCTATCACATACAAACCAATACTTGTTAAACTTGCTCTTTTTGTAAAATGGGCTTGCGTACGCTCCGTTAATGTAATATGTATTTGTTTCATTGTTTTGCACATGTATTTGTTTTTCTCTATGTTTTACTCTATGTCATGTATATGACTCATGAGAATAAACTTTGAATTGAATTGAATACGTCTCAAGGCAGAATATCCGTTATTTCACGTTACCCATAAGGTTCTAGGGGCGGAAGTGTAGTCTCGTGGTTAAAGTGTTCGCTCGTCACGCCGAAGCCGAAGCCCCGGTTCGATTCCCCACATGGGTGCAATGTGTGAAGCCCGTTTCTGGTGCCCCCCGCCGTGATATTGCTGGAACATTGCTAAAAGCAGCGTAAAACTATACTCACTCAAAAGGTTCTAGACCAATATTATTGGGAACGCACTGATCATTGTTCTAAGATTGAAGATTCAATTTCCATTTCGCTCATTGTCAAGACTCCTTCGACACTTCTCGATGTGTATCGAATTAATTCACTCGGTTAACCAATCAATGGTTCACATGTCACTCAGGTTATGGATTTACCTGACTATTTGGCAGCTTCGGAAGCGAAAGATCAGTATATTGAATTTTCAACCAGGGATTTTCAAACATGTTTTGGTGAACATGAGAACACTGTCCAAGTTTTCATAGTCCCAAACCAAAACCGGTTCTCACATGCGCACGTGCTTTTTTGTAATCAAGAAGCAGCTGGAATTAAATCTTTGTGTGATGTTAAATTCAGATTAAATAGGCTTCGTTCGACGGCTCTCGAAATCGAACCAGGCCGCATTTTTTCAGTGGCATAAGGGGAACTTGTAATTGTCGCATTGAGAAGCGTTCAGCTTGTCAGATTTGTATATTTAAAATTCCCTGCCACTGTGCGTTGAAACTGTAATAATTCGACATAGACATGAGAATTCATACTTGTCAGAAAACGACAACTTTATATACGGCAACATTATATACGCCTGATCTTTAATTCTTATCGGAAGTTTTCAATTCGTCCACATAATCTTTTGAAACTTTTACACTTATCCTAGAAAATTATGCTTTTAAATTATCACATTGATTACTTGATATAACAATGTTATATCACGTAAAGGACAAAGGATTTCAAGTGGATTTACTCCGTTCACAGTCAGCAGAACGTTCGCATCGCGATCGTTGCAGTTCCACATTTGGTAAAGAGCTTGCCCTGTCCTGTCCAGTCCGAGTGACCTTGTAAATGAAGAGAGGACTTGAGTAAACCTATGTGGGTATATAGAACTTGGTGTTGATTTAATTATTGTATGAATGTGTGCCAGTACATGAATGAAATGTGGTTTGTTAGGAGTCACGGTCGTTCGACGCCTCATCCGAGTGGAGCGAATGAGCTACCATCTCCCCTGACAATGTGGAACGGCCATAATTAGTATGTAAATGTAGGAGGGTCTACTGACGCCCAGTCGGCAGTAACGACAGTTCGATACGAAAGTATTCCCAGTTAAATCATATACTTATTTCTGAATAAACGGATAATCAAATGAGTCAGGTGACTTGGATCCAAAAATTAATAGGTTCATAGCTTGGTGTAATAATGTCAAAATACCATGGACCCCTGAAGATCCAGGTTCCGTTGGTCTTCGGCAACCTGGACCCCTGAAGATCCAGGTTCCGTTGGTCTTCGGCAACCTATGCTTGTCGTAAGAGACGACTAACAGAATCGGGCGGTCAGGCTTGACATGGTTGACACATGTCATCGTATCCCACTTGTGTAGATCGATGCTCATGCTGTTGATCATTGGATTGTCTGGTCGATTATTTACAGACTGCCGCCTTATAGCTGTAATATTAGTCAGGAGTGCCGAGAGGTCACATGAGAATGCGAGTGCACATGCGCAGGTCAGAATTCAAAGTAGAGATTTTTTTAGATGTACATCAGGTGAGGTGAGGTGAAATTGGGTTTAACGTTGTGCTTGAGAATATTTCACTCATATGACGACGTGCATGCTTGTGTATGTGGATGCGCGGCTGCTTGTACTAGCCCAGACTTAAGCTGGTTTTATAGTGCTAGCCCACTGAGATACCATGCCGCAGTGAAGCATGACAAACCGAAACATGAGTCTCATTAACCTATTCAGACAATGACCTACTTTTCAGTCGATCCGAATTTTCTCGCGTGAAAGTGAAAATAGACATCACAAACAACTATGGTTACACTGAATTCCAATTTCTTGTTTCATAAGAAAATGGTTTTTTACAAATGAATTATAATTTTAAACTTTAATAACATCGTATTCCTACATTTTATGGCGAGGTGTAGGCAGCATGACCTTAACTAAGACTTCACAGACAGCCCAAGTATGATGAGATCGTAAAATTATTCACAATGCATCTGGCTCGCTGGTTACACCTGTTATGTGTGTTTTGTGCTTATGCAGTGTACGTCTATAACGCACAATGTGATTGATGGAATATCAAGTCCGTACCAGACCGCCACACTATTCTAGCGGGAGAGCCTCGTTTTG